GTGTTACGGTTATCATTATTGGTGTCATAATCGCTTTCATCAGGATCAGTGTGTTCATCACTATTATGATAACTAGTATCGTTATTACCATGTTCGTCACCTTCTTCATCATTGCCTCTTCTTCCACTACCGTCACCCTTATTATCATTGTCATCACCATAATCATATTCAATTCTTTGAGAAGATATCGTCTGTGATGGCAGTATTGAACTGTTACTGTTATTCGTCACTGAATATAATAGTGTTCTTCCGGGTTGTCGCCAGGCTAGGAAGCAAACGGCTTGACTCTATTGCGTATGTTTGCAGAAGGCAGATCTCTGTCAACAGCAACATGGCTGAATAATGTGACTGTTTGGCGGATGTTTGTGGTAGATTTTGAATAACAGTTTATTCTTTAAAGGTGATTAGTTGTATGGTGGTATGATACGTGACTGCTGCAACTTATGTCCCTAAATTGCTCAACGTTTACATTGCTGACAGAATCGTGACACTGAACGTAGAATGCAGACTCTGTCATCTAATGCTTGACGTATTTAATACCTCAAGGCTGTTATTAACCCTTTACTATAGCACTGTTATTTAAAGTCTAAGGACAAACAGACAATGAATTGTACGGTTATTTATGGAAATCGTCGATAAAGCTTTTGAATTCATGGCTGATTCTTAGTCAGAATGGAACCAAGGACAGTTCTCTAGGCATCTAGAGCCAGGCAGCTGTGCAGCACCGCGTCAACGAACGGCATTTCGAGCGAAGCGAAGGAACAGCGAATTGGGCAATTCTGTGACATTCTTTGATTAGAAAAATTGTGCTTGTGCGCAAACTATATATCCTTCACATGTTAATGAGGTAGAGGCACAGAAAAGGATGCGTTCAGTATCATTTGCGACAACTGCTGTTATTGTCTGGGGGGAGGGGGGGGTCAGAGTACGATTTGGCAAAGGGGCGCTCAATATCCAAGACCGACTTACTTGATACGGTCGCAGATCACTGTATTTATAGCTGCAATTCATACTGATAGGTGAGGTTTGCGTCACTGCGAAACGCACCATGGATTTGTTGAATAATTCGATTATGCACTGGTTGGGGTAAGTAGACTTCTGTGCAAGTAGAAACCACGATGACTGGAGTTATGGACACTGTCCTCTCATCACACTGTGTGAACGTACCAATTTAATTATCAGCGGGACGCTCTTTGCTGTGTTCCTGAAGTCTCGAATGCTACATATTAGCGTAAGTGTCATAGGATTGTTTTTCTCCGAGAGAGGGAGAGAATAATATTATGAACAGAAAAAAATGAAGAACAATATTCAGAAGATGACAAATATAAAATCTTACAGTGTGTATTGCACAACTGGGCACTGAACATCGTCTGCACGATTTCTGCATCTTGAACATTAAAACATGATTGGAGCTGTGAGGCAAGTGCTAGACAGACACCTGACATAAATATCACCAGCCAGCCGCCATTCCCTCCCCCTCTTCTGCCTTTCCCATCACACTGTTCATTAACGGAACGACAGGTTGTTCGTAGAGTTGGTGATGAAGACGAAGGGAGAATTACATCTAAGTTTGTCGGTTTTAATTTTAGTACATATCAGCATTTAGTTCATTGTACTCAGGCGTAAATGAAATTCATTTCTGCAGCATGAAATGACGATGGCATTCGACACTGTTTTTGCATATTGTTGTTATAGCCTCTCCTGAAGTTTGATAAAGCTGGATCTTCACGGGATGGAATACGTCAAATCAATTTGTATGTTCAGTAGCCCCTGTGAAAACCTTAATGATAAGATTAGATATGGCTTTACAAGCTAATATGACGATTAATTTAATGATTAGAATTTAGCATCATATTTATTGAATAAGACCAAAGCGAAATTTCTCGCAACAAAATTATCATTCTGTTGCACGCCAAGCAGTTCAGTCGTCATGTTCAGTGATCTGATGGCTTTCTATCAGTCTGGGTTTTCCTGGAATGAACGAACGAATTCAGTATTAACCATCATATTGTGCAGTTGTACAGTAAACGTCGTCGATGAAAACAGTTACTGCTTAAATTGACAGAAGTGTCACTGATTAACGTTTCAGCGGTCATGGATAAAGAGGAAACAGGCCGGTCGATAGAAAGTTAATGCAGATGAATATCTAAATGCAGGTATTCGATGAAAGGATCGATTCGAGCAGATTTCTCCTTTCTCTCTTTTTGTCCTGCCTAGTCGGAGGCATATTTGGGATTACAGACTTTCCGCATTCCGCATTAGTTTCTGTAGATAGAGATATATTCTGACCTTGTGCAATGGAAACGGCACACGGGGTGGAGAGGATCTGTTAGAATAGGCCCAATAGGTCTTAGAAACAGAATTAACAATGACAATTTTTAGGACGAATAGAAATTTGCTTACGTCTCCTGTACGACACGGAGTGGATACCTTGACAAATTGGTTGTTGCATTTACAGATAATAATATTCCCAATACTTTAGATCATCAATCAAGGGCGGTAGTTATTACCGTCGTTCAGTCGTGACCCTGCAGTCGAAAAGAAATCGTCGTTGTCGTTGTAATTATGATTGTGTGTCATCGTTGCCCCCGTAGATTTTCGGTCGTCCCCGTTGCCTTTTGCGTTAGTCGGTACGAGCACGCGTCATTGGAACTGCTTCTGCTTCTTGTTCATACAGTTTTCATCATTGTCGTGTGCTTCAAAAGCGGGTCAGTGGACAATGACGGCACGCGTGGCCCCTGGGGCGATTCATTACTTCAGAAAACCGACTTCGAGGTATCGGTTGACGGTGTACCTCTCGTCGGACGCCGATGGTGGAACGGGCCCGATGGTCCTTTGTTGTTTTTCTCTTATTCGTTGTTTCCTCGTTTCGCTCCTCCATTTGGATGTTAATGCGCAAACAACGAGACGGCCGCTCAGCGCCGAGCAGACAAATTAATTCATGACCACCGAAACGACGTTTCTTCTTTCTCTCGTCGTTCGTCGTCCGTTACATTTTTTCCGCATTGTCATCATTCGTTTCTCCCTTCTCACACCATCGATTTGTCCAGCAGGTTTGTCATTCGCAGTCGGTCCCCTCTCAGTGCTGTTCGTCAGTTAGTACTGACCAGTGGTCGATCGGATTTAGACGATTGCGATTGCCGTTTGTTTTCTGCGAAGTGTCTGTTGTGAGTATCAGTAGAGGTAAGAGGTTTGCTAGCTTCTAATTCCGTGTTCGCTTATAATTTTGTCGACACTAGTTTTTTCTAGTGTGCCCATTACCAACGAGAGATTGAAGCTACGCTTCTGTTGTCACGTCACCGTTGCCGTTGTCGCTGTCGTCTCTTGCCAACGTTAAATCGAGCATGAATATCGGGCAATTCCTGTAGATCGATGGCGGCGTCCGTACCCTGCTTTTAAATCACCGCTCTACTTAATTCATGTTCAAAAATGAGTTCGTGCGGCTTCGGCAGCGGCGCGACAATAAAACTGCATCTGCATCTATCGAGTTACTTGACTGTTATTATTTCGCAAGATTTTTGCATTGCATTCATTTGATCAGGCATAATTTTTTAGAATATATTACAAAACTTTCTGTGCAATCGTCCCTTCTACAGTCCATCGTTTTTTTCCTCCTGATCAGTTGTTTTTCCATCAGTAAGTAAATCGAACTTGCTTCTCGTTCGCCACACCCTCCACGTTTTACTACCAGCAGTCGGCGAATCACATGAATTTCGAAACATCGCCGAACCCAGTCATTAACCAAACACAGTATACCTTGAGTTATCGATCTCTTCGACCGTAAAGGGTATCCGTAAAATCAAAACGCCCGTAAAATATCGTCTCTATGAAACCACGGGCCCGTTAAATGACAAATTATGGTGCTTTGAAGCAGAGCGCGAACTTTGCTCACGTGGCAGAAAGTATCTGTCATGTGAAACAAACTAAATACGCTACTAAACATACTCCTTTTTTATCACCGTTTCTAGCTTACTGATCCAACGATAAAAATTATTTACTGTTTTCTGCCTGATTATTTACTTTACAGCTATCACTGATAAAATTTAAATATCAGTTTTAATTTAAATTAGAACGATACTGTGTTAAAATTTTGTGACTGAATCTGTATAAGGTTATATATTTATCTCTGTCCGAAAAGCTCGCATTAATTTTACGAGGAAGATGAGAATATAGCTGACTTTTTAAAGTTCCAGGTTTACAGTCTAAGATGCTTGATCACTGCCTGGGACTTCTGGCAAGAGACACCTTATCTGCAACGGTGAATTTTTTAGTATTACCTCTGTTAAGCGTGGTTTATTGTATTCCGGAAAAGTACAGACTTAAATCGATAACAATCTGTGATTTTATTGCGACTATTGACTCACTGTTTGTGAAACGTGAAACTATTACCTTCAGAAATAATGTCGGTATCTAACGCTGTGCAGGGATGTCATGAACATATATAAAAGTGTTTATTGAATGAGATATGTTCGTTGCTGTTCGAAAATGTTTCTGTTACACCCAACAAAATGGTGTTGTTTTGTGTCTGTGCACTGCAGCTGATAAAATACCATCGAGCCTTTGCCTCGATAGATGGTCCCCTAGGCAATGGCACGGTAAATCCATACAATACAAGAGTGACATTATTTCAGTTTTGACGATGACGTCAATCTGAATCAAATCACATCCGAATTCTTACCGGAATTTGCTGAGACAGTACATGAGTAGTGCCTACATGGCAATCAAAGCATGACGATTAAGTACCAGAATTAAAAAAGAAAAAGGAAAATTCTGTATGGTAGATGCGGTAGTTAAATCGGGCATATACTGTAATATGAAGCGCAGCGAAATTTTGCGAAAAATTGAAAAACAACTGTTGCCATTCGCTTCATCAGTCAATGTTGCGATACCCATCGAAACGAACAAATGGATGATCCAGATACGTTCACATCTCTGCGCGAACGAAATTGTCCAAACTATCGCCAGGGATCTGTTTCTCATGCCGTTTATTGGATCGCTGTAAAGTTAAAGCTGGACTGTCATATAACCATTGCTGCAACACTTGTCTGCATGTGGTATGGCTACAAGCAATAAAGATGATAATAATACCAGTAGTAATAATAGCTGACGTCTCCATCCCTTCGGTACAGTGCCTTTGCTCGTTGTGGTGTCAGACCCCGCGATTCGTCGTGATTTCTCATACCATCGTCGCAGACGGCGCCTTCCGGTTCGCTGCTCAACCATGTCAACGAGTTTTTAAACTTGTGCGCACTCGCGTCTGCTGGATAACATATAGGTTGAGGCGTGTTTGGGCTTTGAATATCACACGTTGCGTGTAAGATGTAATGAAAAACAATCAGGTGATTTAAACATGAATATAATCGAAGACTTTGCTTTATCTTCACGATGTTTACAACTGCCCCATTACAACTATGCTAATGCTGGACTTGGAGCATAAGAAAATCGTACGTTCTTCGATGTTGTTTTGGTGGAAACCGGTAGAAGTCAGTCAGTACGACATTCGACTCACAAAGCAAAGATTTTGGGGTTGAATCCCGGCGTTGCATCGAGTTGCCTTTCGTCTTTTTCCCAGGAAACCTGTAGGAGACACGCATCTGGGAGGGACATTGATATGTATGCCCGTCGACGTACTGCAATGACCATCCAAGACGTAGATTTTTGGCTCCTTCTGGCTTATGACATGTCTAACGACCGCGTCATCAAGCATATTTGTGTCGTGCAGTGTACGCTGGATGTGCACCATTGAAATGTAAGATTCGAACCTCATGCGCGACGTAAAATTTTCTTATTACAACTGACGGTTCGATTGAGCAAAGAATCTACCTCGCTGTGCTTCGGCGTAACCGGTCGACATGAACGCTAGCAAGTCATTGACCTACGAACAATAAAGTCGGCATGGTGTTCTGCTGTGGTCGTGCGACAACTTGTGATGACACTTGAGGACTATGTCGAAGTAACTTATTAAATGCCCGCTGTACTTTTCTAACTTTCGCGGTGACTTTAAAAAAAGTTTTTGAACGGATCTAGACGGTTTTTTGATCGAGGTTTACAGTATCATTTTGAATAAATAATTTTTTGTTTAATTATTTAAATAGTTTGATTCAGATTTAGCAAGTAGGTATGATCAAGCGAGTTGTAGTTGGTGTCTCGGTTTTTGGTTCCAACTCCGGGCCGTGACTTACCTGAGTGTACTTTTCGAACATTGTCTGCATTATGGCATGGTGGCGAGAGCATGGCGATGAGTTCATGACCAGATAAGTACACCAGTTCGGAAGCAGTTTGCGTTGGCAATTTGATCATTTAACGTTATGGAAAGCCATGCTTCACTAATCCTGTCAGTTTCGTCCTGCCTGTTAATAAATGTTTTGTCCGTGACTTCTTTCAAGATGTTTCTTTTTCACCTTTCGTGTGGATGGTGCTGCTTGCATACCATTCTGTAATGCGGTTTTTTAGGATGCCGTGCTTAACGGCATCGGCACAGCCCTTTTCATATGCTCTTCTGAGACAAGCCATGTGATGTTCTTCATGTAGTCGTTCTATATCAAGCTTGTTATATATATTTATATTTATATGCGGTATGTTTAATGGCCGCTGTCCGCCTCGCCATGCGTTTTCAAATGACTTTCATGGATCCGTTAACGACTTAGCGATTGGCAACGAATGCCGATCGACGGCCGGCTGCAGTCACAGTACATCTGTGACTGAGACGAATTTTTAAACTTTGAAGCTTTACGATTCTCCCAAGATCATTAATTGTTACCAAGCGAAAATCGTTCGTTTCCTCCATTGTTGTGCTTGAATGGGCGGAGTGCCCCCGTTTCGGTCTGAGGTTTTTCGACCACGTTCACCGACCGATCGGTCATCCGTCGTTGCTCACGTTCCGTTTTGCGAAAACACGTTTCAGACTGGTGTCTGTCTATTCGCGCATCGGTGGTGTTGACAGTGAATAATTAAAAACTTCTGCACATGTAGTCTACGGCAGATTTGTACCGCATCGGATCTCAGATGATCAAACAATCCATACACTTTTGGATGAGTGAACATTTTCTTACGTACCAGAACATGTCCTTTCGTCTCATGTCCTACATCACATTTTTCATTATTTCAGTTTGTCTCTATAATCGTTCGATGGTATATCATTCCACAGTGACAATTGTCAGGGAGATGATTATGCTTTTTGTAACGATGATCAATTGTGATAATCACAATAACCTGATGACAATCATTATCACGATGATAACGGTGATGGCGGCGGTGATAGTGTAGATAATGATGATGATGACGATGATAATGATACTGATATGAATGATTATGACGGTGACGATGCCGATAACTTACAGCGATAACGAAGCACCATATCAATAGCGTCTATCGACTACATCTGGCTCAAAGCTTTATATGGCACCGATGAAATATCTCGTGATACAATTATGGAGATAAAAACGATGTCTGTGATGAAACCTTGATAATGGAAACGACGGTGACTGTCATCATGGTAATAGTAATCATACACCGATGATACTAATAATGACGATTATAATTATGCTGATGATAATTCATTATTCGATTTGCCGTCGCTATGAATGCGCCATGAGCGCCAGTCAACGCGTCTCCAACACTGCCTACTTTCCACTTTCAGCTTCAACGGCTGACCAAGTAATTTGACCATCGGATCATCGCAACCTATTGGACGTTCGTGGTCCAGAGGAACGCAGTTTGCAATCTAATGCCTGCCAGTTGCTTTCAGGCTAGCCACATCACACAGTCCAAGTTTTCTAGGCATTGTAGATGTTGGAATTTTTCTCTGCTAATTCAGTCCATTGTTGAGTTTCTACCATCGAAATGTGATACCGCAGGGACACCTTGCTCGTTTATCGCTTCATCGGTCTTTTCCGTTTAGCGAGTTAGTCCGGCTCGGGATATGATGGCCAATGTACGCGTGTGTGTTACTGATGACTTCTTGGAGTTCTTCGACATTCACGTAGATAAAGCCCTCGTGGAAGTGCTCGTTTCGTCTTGGAGAAGTTAATCTTCAAAGCGACTGAGAGATTATTCTTCCATCTTGCGTCTTCTGTCATAGCTCCATCATGTGTTATTCGAAGTCGATAGGCCGTCGTTTGCCAATAACAAGTCTGTTAGCTGTTTTACAACAGTATTACTGTCTTTGCACCAGTTTAGCTCGTTGAACAGTGCCTCCGAGACGTCGAAGACCGCTAGTAAAAATGGTATCTCGATTTCTGGCACTTTTCTCGACCAGTGCCGTTACGACGTGGTTCACTGAGCAGCTTGATGTCAGTCGCGCATACGATGCAGTTCTTCGATAAGGTTTACGATGTTTAAACACTGGCACAGGAACGCAAACGGAAACATGTTCTGACGTTGCTGTTTCTGCTGTCCATCAGGTAACTGGTCATCGAGACTGTCTGACTGACTGACTGATAGTTACCAAAATTTGAAATTGAGGGAGATCTCGTTTAGCATAAACGGAGTATGCCAAGTTGTGTCTTTTTCTGCATTTTTAGCGTAAAGTTTCACTCCTCTTTTGGCGCCGTTCTTTTCATTTATTTTCGCGTAGAACGTCATTCTGTAACACGTCCTGTCCGTTTAGTGGCGGTAAGCATTTAGTGTCTCGTATCCACTAAAGCTACCATTACAGTAGTTTTCTGCGAAAAGCTGTTTGACCAAATTTATTCCGCTTGTCAGTATGTCATTTTGGTGTCTTTGAGCGTCAGAAACGTTAAACTGTTCAAATGCTGTTAGATGAGTGTCGATGATTGATCGTTTGTCAACGCTAGTAATTTTAAGTGTTTTAAATTTGTCACTGCTAGACAGGTGACAGTGTTCCATCGCTGGCGTTCATGA